CCCCGGGAACATCTTTCTGGACATCTGCACGCGTCCCGAGCGTCCCGGTGTAGGTGAACCCATCGCGGTCCGGAACTAATTTGAAAAAGAAGTGCAAATGAAACGCTCGGCGCCAGTTTTCAGCGGAAAAGGATGCTGAGAACGCTGTGGTCAAATCGAGCGTGGATGCAAGGTGATTTTTCGGTAATTCACAAGTCAATTCATAACTCCTGTCAAAAAGCACAGCTCGTAGGTGTGGTTCAACGAAAAGGAAAACTAATCAAATATAAAGTTAATAATTTATCGTGAGTTATTCCGAATGTCACACCGAATTTTACGATCAGCAGGTGACGATGTTTTATTGACCGCTGGGTGAACCAACTTCAGTCCTGAACTCCAGTCTGGTCTAAATCCCCTGAATCGCCCCACTCCTTCATGCCATCGATTGAATCTACGTAGCACCAGGCTCCATTCGTTTTCTCTTGCATCATGCATCTGTACCCGAAGAAGCCGCACCTGTCTATCATATTTCAGCCTCCCTCCTAGTCTGCATCTGAGAAGCGTTTGACATCTGGCGCGATTCCGTCGACTTCCCAGCTACGCCGTCTGCCCTCTCTGGGAGTGGGACGAGCCGCGTCTGAGGCGGCTGTAGTCAGCCGAGTGTAATTTCGGCAATGGCCATTATCGCTCCCCGCGGTGCTGTTTAGACGGACGTAATCCAGCGGACGCCACAGCCGGCCCCGCCTCAATTGGGAGCGGTAAATTTCCATGACGTCTTGCTAAAAACATGAGCTGCCAGGGGAAAAGGCCTCGTGTTGCTTGATGCTGTTTTTCCATAAAAATAAAGGAACGTAAAAAGCAATGTATTTTCATCACAAGCTACAAAGTCGATGACACAACACATGAAGTACCTACACAAATGTATGGCTCAAGTCTCCTCGTCTGTCGCATTTAGTCGTCTGGTCATATTTTTGTGAACTGGAAATATCTGCTAAACTGAAAGCCTCTCGTATTCAATAGTGAATATGCAAAGCACTTTATACAACCAAATCTCACTAAAAGGCTTCCGGTGCTCGCCCGCATACGAGCATGCCTACCTTTTTCGAATTGGTATATATTTAGCATTATATTCTTCCTTGTGTACAACAACAAGCTGTAAAATAAAAACAGGCCATGTTTCTTTCAAACGAGCTTGTTTGCGGAGTCATTCAGCACTTAATAAGTACACTTATTGCCCATCAATTACCATCTGTTGACTTTTGCTTCCACAAGAAAAGACATTTTGCAGCACACACATGTGTGAAGAAAATGCCATCCACTTGAAGTAAAAATGGGCAGCAAAACGCTTTTTCATTCTTTCAATAGCAATAGAGTCATGTTTATAACCAGCCGAATTGATAAGGTATGTTTCCCTCTTAGTTGTACCACATTCCTCATTAAATTAACTAACCGAATCCATTTATTAACAGTATTCCGTCACTGTTTGCAGCTCACCCAAACAGAGTACAGAACAACCCGTGTTTTTGGTCTTCGCCGGCCACAAATTCATCGGTCGGACGGAGGGAATCGTCCAGCACGCGGCAAACACCATCGGACGAGCTATGGCGTAGCCGTGCTTCGTAACAGCAGCATTCCACTGAACGAAAAACAGCATCGCACGCGGCCACTGGTGTAGCTCAAGACAAAATGGGATCCATTGAAATATTACAGATCGCCCAGGAGCCGGCCATTCAGAGAAGATGATCCACAAAACATCATCCGGTTCAATGGCATCAGTGAAGACTTGTGTCTCTTCTCAAGAAGTTCAGCTTTGTGGAAGTTCAAGCTGGGAAGTTATGTGCTACATTTTGCTGGAGCGCAAATTAAAGCGTGCCTGGTTTGACGGCGGCAGTCAGTTTCCTCCGAACTATCGCCTGGGGAGCTGTTCATGCCACGGATGAGCTACCGCTCCTTGGAAGCCCGACTGTCCGCTGGGTGTCCACTGGACGACTTCTCAGGACCGAGCGGACCGTGAGGAGACAGAAGAGCCTCCCCAGCTGTACTTAGCACATTTGCGACTGAGTGGTTAAGTATATTTTCAAAATACTGCGAACATCGTTTCGACGCCCCAGCTGGCTTCTAAAACCATGAAGATGACATTCAACTTTTCGATCCCTGGAACTTGAGAATGATGACCATGCATGCCTACTGCTCTCATAGGTGTGACGGTTCGATGCCTATTGACACCATGCTCCCAATTATGCACAAATCGAATATGCATCTCTCATCCAACTAGGATTTACTAATTGTTAGCAAAAGTCAGTTGCTATTGCAAGTATCTATTTAGAAAAAATTATTGTTACTTCTTCCAGTCTACCGGACGGTTTTCTTATAGATTATTTTGATTCAAGGCTTAATTGTAATCGAAGCTTGACACAAATAGTGTAATGTAATTCAGTAATTCAGTATCTGAAATTTTACTAAATAAATTTCATAAGTAGGTAAAAACAGAATGTGTATGATTACAAAAAATATTATTGAAAAATGTTTGTATGAATACAACGGTCTAAAACATAATTCCTTCAGGTATCTCACAGTTTTCTATCCGGATAATGGTTAGAACAACAAAGAAGCACGTAGGTCTTTTCCTCATCAATCACTGTCTCACTGCAGGGCGACATTCATCACCGAACTAGCTGGGTCCTCTGACAGGTGATAACAAAGAGCTGCTGCCCCAAGAGACTGATACCGAGAATAGAGCTTGATGGCATGCAAACAGGGGGGAGACTCATATTATGGAGTGCTTCTGAATTAAATCGTGCCAACTGCCAGTTGCAAGCAGAAAAGCAACGGAGTTTATTTTGTTCCAGAGACCAGACATTTTTTTTAAGCCATGTAGTATGTTCAGTTGCTGTTCATCTTCGGCATCGTGCAAATGTGTGGCAGTAGACACCTTCAAATCCAATTGCTGTGGCTTAATACGACAGGGTGATGTTTTTTAGACATCCTTGACAAAATGTGGGCATCTCTTTTGGTCTGCTGTGTGCTGAATTGATCCGTAAATTTTTTCAAAAAATATATTTTAGAGTTTATTTTGGGTTACTTTTGTGAGCGTTTTGCTTAGGAAGCAAAGAGATAGTCGATATCCTATATTGAGAGAAAAAAAACGAGATCATGAGTATATTTAGCAATAATGATGACGATTTTAATACTGATGATGATATTGATGATGATAGTATTAATGATGATTTCCTTCCCATTTTACAGTATCATCACCTGTACCGAAGAGCTAGTAAATGATTATTTCCAACGAGCCCTGCATTCTCTTGCCTCACCCGCTATGTCACGTATGTACTCGACTATATGAGGCTCGCTTCCTTCTCGCATACGTGTCAAGTGCCACAGCACGGCCCACATGACAGCAGCAGCCGCTGCCACGCCACCACTGCCTTTAGCTGTGAGAACAGAACAGGTGGCTCACGTGTCGTCATCCATAATGCTATCAAAAATATACAAACTTGGGCCAAAATGTATTAGTTTTGTCGATGAGAAACTCACTAAGGACTCTTATCACTATATGAGGGACTTTACATAGCAGTGGCCTTCTGTTAGCGCTTCCGCTAAGGCTATGCGGGAAAGATAGACGTGAGATGGTATCCTTGAAAATGAATGTGGCATTCTTTCGTTGAAGAGTGATCGACGAACATTTCCTTTTTTAAAGTGACCAGCCCACCTTAACACTCTCTTGAGTTGAGATAGCCAAATTGGGGTCCCTGGCTTGCTCTTACCGGTTTGGACACTCACAACATCGAGAAAGGCTTTAATTCGGAGATATTTAATTGCAAAGTTGCAGCACTTTGGATTCAGAGGGGCTAATGCATTTAAATGCCCCCTCTGAATTTGTGACGTCAGCGCAGATCTAGCGATTTTAAAAACTGATACTAACATCTTTTTGAAGCAGTGGTGGTGTATGCTATTTGCGCGCAACATCTGTCGCACTTTTAAGATACCAAATTATTGCTTCCAAATGACGTCATAGGAACAACGAAGGCTCCGAAGAATAAACAAAAGTAATAGTCTAATATCTCCAAAACCGGTTAATATTTGTTAGCTTTCAATGGAATTAGGTATATACTCATTTTTGCTCAATCTGAATCATGCGACACCACTTCTATGCCAATTCAGTAACATTTTTGAAGGTGGGAGGGTCCCATTAATGACAATCTTTCGAACCAAACCATAATGGTGAAATAAAGCGTTTATTTTCTTAAAGACCTCTTATTTCGACATCGTGTGTTTGTGTTCGCTGAACTGAACTAATTCAGCCGTATCTCTGAACTTGCTCAAAATGTTAACTGTTGTGTAGTTTTTTTCTTGTGTGTATGTGTGAAGGTTGGAAGCTGGATGAGTGTCGGCCCTCGTTGGACTCAGTTTCCTGTAGAAACTGCCCTAATAAATTGATGTGATATGCCTCATGGTGAATTAGTTCCTATGTGACCTAAAAATAAGCAAAGTGAATGGGCAAATGTTTGTAAATGAAACTTTTCCAGTGTAGCCTCCTGATCTAGTAATGCAAGAACTTTGAGCTATGACTAAGAGGTGAAGCTAACCGTCCCAGAGTTGGCATGAAAATTTAGCTCTAGGCACTGTATATGTACAGTATTGTATGGAAAAATTAAAGATGTCGACACGCTACGGTGAACTTTGACGTTTCTTAGTGAGCAGATGCTGTTTGTTGTAAAGCAGGCTGCAATTGCATGCAACGAATTATCGATAGTGCAATTGGCGTTCCACGTACTAGTTTCTGCGCCAGGAGACTACTTCCTTTTGCAGAAATGGACTACGAGGAATTGGCTGTACGGTGCCGTTCCACGAGAGCACGTGACGATTCACCACGGCTGCAGTGGAGGTGAGGCGGGGGGGGGGGGCGGGAGGCCCGCAGGTGCGCTGTCTCCCACCGCCCGCGGGCGTATATAGCCTCCCCCTCGACCGCACGGCACTCAGCATTCCGTTCCGTCCGGTCGCCTATCGTCACCGTCGCCATGAGGTGCCTTCTCGCTGTTTGCGCCGCTCTGGTGTCGCTCCTGGCGGCAGCCGCGGCCGAGGACTGTCCCGACGGGTTTGAGGATCTCGGTCTGGGCGACAACCACTGCTACATGTATGCCAACGAGAGCAATTCATGGACACTGGCCTACACAGCCTGTCTGACCAGCGCCAACGGCACTGGCAACCTGCTGTCCCTCAGTGACGCCAACAGCTTCTACCCGCAGTACTATAAAGTCACAGAGGCCGAACAGGACTACTGGACCGGCCTTCTGAACGTGGGCGGTGAGAAGAGCTGGGCCGACGGCACTCCCTATGTCGGCTCCGAAATCGACCAGTTCATTGCTGAAGACGCCGGGAACGACTTGTACGGCTACATGTCCGGCAAGGACGGCCTGTTCCGCTTCGACAACGCGAGCACGAGGCGTCCGTACATCTGTTACGTGGACCTGACGGAGGCGCCGACGACCACGGCGCCGCCGCCGACGCAGCCGCCCTGCGAGGCCGGCTGGCTGCAGTACGGAGAGGTCTGCTACCTGTTCAGCGACGACCAGCAGTACTGGGGCTCGGCCGGACACGCGTGCCACCTGCAGGGCGCCGAGCTGATCTCCATCAACAACTCTCAGCTGCTGACCTTCCTGCTGCTCAGCGCCGACGACTCGATCGTCTACTGGACCGGCCTGGAGAACCAGAATGAGACGTACGTCTGGGAGGACGGCACGTCGGCCGATAACGTGCCGGACGTGCTCGGTCCCTACCTGGACGACTGGGAGGAGGGGAGCGACTGCGTGGCGCTCAACGCGGGAGCGTACCCCGACCCGCCCCTGCAGCACCTCAACTGTCTTACCGAGCAGAACTACATCTGCTACAAGCAGGCTAACTCTGACGAGCTCTTCGACAGTGGGGCCGGCAGCTACTGGCTGTAATCACGGTGAGAAAGTAAAAGGTAATTGAGTAAAGCAATGATGAAGCGGTGAAAGCGTTCATCAGTAGCACGGCGTTAGAAATAAGAAGGGTACATTTTTGATGGGTATTTGGTATGTGTAACGGCTACTGTGGCCTCGCATTGGCTATATTCAGCTGTACTTTGTAAGCGTGGCTGCTAAAAACATGTAGTGCGTGTGTGGATGAATATTTGTTTGGCATTTGTATGGTGAATGTTTTTTTCATACAATATATACTTTCAATTTAACGAGTGTGGAACGCATTATTTTGTATGGAAGAATAAATGGAGAGCTTGGATCAGCTTGATCTTCCTAAATCGATTAGTGCCTTTTATTAAATCAAAATTGCTAGTCCCAATAGAAACAATATCTTATACGTCTTCCACACCATACCGGTTGATGGGCGGGCTCAACGTTAGCCATAAACAGCAAATAATTATCACGAATGCGGATGCGCTGGCCCGTGAGATAAAGAGCACAACTATACCTATACAGCTTTCGCGAGACCAGCCAATTGGATTCTTCGGAACTGCCAACTTAAAAACGGAAATCCAGCGAAATAATTGGTGTCAATATAGGTATGTACTATGCTAACATAGGTATTTACAGTAGTTAAAATGGAGGTAGATAAGCACATATGTAATTTAGTTACACACGACTTATGTAGTACCTAGGCACGTCTAGTCATAGGTCATCCAAATATTCAAAATAGGTACTGGAAGCTAGACGACAATTGTCAAGTACGATTGTCATTTTTTGACTCAGTGGGGTGGCTGGGAGAAAAAGAAAATAATAACCTCATCTAAGTTGAGCAAAATATAGGAAGCAAACAGCAATCTATAGCCGTTTTCACGACGGCTAACTGGTACACATTTGGTGTTCCTAAGGCGTGGAGTTGGTGCATATTTGGACAAATTAGGTTCATTGTGTCACTAAGAATTTAGGTTGTACAGTTGCCTATATAGGACTTTTTTAATTCATGAGACATTATTTTCTATTAACACTGAAATAAGCTCGTCATGTGATTTTTTTGTAACAGAGATTTTGGTGCATATTTGGTCAAGTTTGGCGCATTCGCCAGGTAACCCATCGTGAAAACGGCTTATATCAAGTGCTGCCTCTGGGCTGAAAGCGTGCAGCTCCTTTGGCACAGATGTCGCTTCAGTTCCGATTGCCTTGTGCAGTGGCCAGCAGGTGTTGGGAAAGTGATATTAGAATCGGATATAGACCAGTAAAACGCCTTTTGGGCGACCAACGGAGCGAGCGAGAGGATGGGCCTTGCACGTGCGAAATTGCGAGGGGGTACCTCCAACTAACTTGTGCACTGCACCCTACTAACCGGTCTTTAGCGATGTGCCAAATTTCAGCGCAATCGGCCTAGCCGTTCTCGAGATCTGGAAGCGGCACACTGCACGTGCGCACGTGCAAGCGGGGTCCAAACTGACTTTTGCACGGCACCCTACTAACTGGTCCCTAACCGTGTACCAAATTTGAGCGCAATCGGCCCAGCCGTTCTCGAGATCTGGGACCGCCCCCTGCACGTGCGCACGTGCTGTAGCACCCCAACCTTAACACATGCAGATGAATTTTCTGATGGAGACCTAACTGTGTACCGAGTTTCAATTCAATCGGCCCAACCGTTGTGCCGTTATTGAGGTTGCAATTTTGGGGGTTCTTAAAAAATGTCCAACTTTACCACGCGCCACGTGCGGTGGTTGGCAAGAACGCATGGTGGCCATCACACCACAGAACTTTTACGTCCAAATGACATTCAGTAAAGAAGACCGCTTGTCAATCGGATGTCCCGTTCCTAAGATATTAGCTTTTGAAGAGCGTCCCCACGGCCGGCCGGCCGGCCGGCCGGCCGGCCGGCCGCTCATACTCAGGATTTTCCCTTAATTCAGTATGAGACTCCGCTCGCTTCGCTCGCTCCGTAATGACGCTTTAGTCGCTACACATGCTCCTTATTGGGGCATTCCACGATCGATCGACCAAAAATAAATAAAATTTACACCCTCATATTTTATTTTTTGCTTAAAATTGGTCTAATGGGTTGTGATGGGCGGGGAACCCAGCTGTGGCAAGGATTTTTTTCTTCGAACAACGGTTTCCGAGATATAGCCTCGGGCAGTTCCTGGAGGTCACACTGCAACCCTATGTTTGGCGGCTTTATAACTCAGAAACTATTGGTTTTCTATGGCAAAAACTTTATAAGGTTCAACTCGCAATCAACCAACAAACGTTTTGGCTATCTCGGATTTTCGATTTTTGAAAATTTTGATCACGTGACATCTTGACCTTTTTTTCGAAGAGTGACCTTGATATTTTCCCAACTGAAAGTCGCAATTATGTCTGATGACGATTAAAGCCTTATCAATTGTCATTCATATGCGCAAATAAAAAAGTGGCTTTCGGCCTGCGTTGACCTCAGGTCAGGTCATTTTTATGACCTTCCCATTATTACGAGCGGGAGCGACAGCGAAATCTCGAGAGCAATCTAATACCGACCCACCCAAGGCCATATATAGTAGGTAGCGACACTGAGCGATTTGTTTACAGCCAGTTTCGATCCCGATGACGCAAATGTGTCGTCACGAGACAAAACAATATGGCCACCTCTAATGAGAACCAAGTGCGATAAGTTCCCGGATGTAGACAGCACTGACGTCACCGGAATCGAAACCGACGAAATCAGTACTGGACCTATGGCGAAGCAAAGTAGTAACATCCCCCTGGACCCACCCGTCTACAGGGTGTTTTACTAAATGTTTCTAAAAGTTAAAGTCATAATGCACATAAAGACAAGACAACGCTGTTTTGAAACATTAGGGCATCGTTTCATCTAAAATGGCATTCACTTCTGTGCAGCAACGCCACTTAAAACTTTCATGTGGCGGCTCCATTTCTCCTGATGCATACCTACTTATAGCACGAAACTGAGGATGCTTTTGGGTCGTTGGCGTGACCTCAGCTTCCAGGGTTTAAGTCAAGTCTCGAGTTGTTGGCAAAATGTTGTAGGTACGTTTTAACTTCCGAAACATTGCCATATGGTCTTTTCTCACGTCTCATGTCTGCAAGGGCCACGTCTGATATGATATGGGAGATATAAGACTGCGCGCCGGCCAGGGGCCTTGGGCGGATCCTGGGACGGCTGGCAATAGCCGTTTTCACGACGGGCTATCCGGCGAATGCACCTAATTTGACCAAATCTGCACCTAATCTCTTTTACAGCAAATATCTTCATTTTATTAATTTAATTCAGTATTTTAATCGATGATACTCTCTGATAATATGACAAAGGAGGCATATAAGCAAATAGTGCAGCCCTAGCTGATAGCTTCTAAGAGGTACACTGAACCTAATTTGACCAAATCTGCACCTAATCTGCACCAAATGTGACCAAATCTGCACCTACTATGTATTTCAGACCCCATGAGACCCTGTTTTTCGGCGATAATTTATTTAATATTTATCCAATTGGCTTCAAATTTTCGCAAAGCACATTTCAGCTCAAGCGCCAATTTTCGCTAATATGGTCTCTTAACAAAATATCAATTGTTAGGGTACTTGTCGTTGCCTCGTAATGTTAAAATCAGCTCCGTAAACCCGTCAGTGGAGTAGAGGCTATCCGTGCGTAGGCGTGACGTCACAGGCACGTGACCATTAAGCTCCGCCCTCCCGGCGGACGGAGCGGTGACCTTGGCCGGTCAGTCGGATGCGTGGAGCCGACGGGGCAGTAGCTGCCGGACCCAAGGCCGTATGCCGGACCGGGGCGGCTCGCATTGGACGTGGCTGCCTTGCGGTTGCTGTTGCAGTAATATCGATACAGTAGAAACTAACGCTCGTAATTATCGCACTAGCCTTCGTTACTGCATTTATCGCAAATTAGCCTACACAATGTCAATCAATAAAGATATACGTAAGTTACAAGTTCAGTAAGTTTAGGTCTAGTGACTGCATTTTTGTTTGATTGAACGTCATTAAAAAACCGTTGATGTCAATTGACTGTGAACTGATGCAAGACGTCGGTCAGCCTACGTCAAATTTGCCAGACATGATAACAGTTACACCGTAGCATTTAAGAAGTGTGGTTGCAATATGAAATATGTTATGCGTATGTTTGAGAATTGAGATGGATTCATGTGATTGCGGTGCAACATGAACACCTTCAGAACTAACTCATTTTATAATTGGCTAGATTGAGGTCACCGGACTGACTTGACCCTGCAGGCTTTCGTGTTGAACTGCAAATAATTAAAATACCTGTAAGTAAGTAGCCTACTGCCTCATTATTGGAGGGCTTGAAAAGTTACTTTAGTTTCACAAAAAGACGCGATTTCTTTACTATAGCCTATGCGCTTGTTTCCTTTATTCTGATGACACAATTCTACCATGCGCAATAAATCGCACATCACATTTCTGCTCCCTTCTCAACGCTTCCCGAATTAGTTTTTCAATAGAAAACACAATTCTAACGAATAGTGTTTGTCTAATGAAGAAACAACCTGCGGTTACGAACACACCTCGTGGAGCGATGTCTTAGGCAATCGGAAGTGCTCGCGAGTCGCGACTCATCATCCTACTCTGTTGTTTTCTGCATAGGTATAACGGTATAACAGCGTCTTCAGAAACAGCGATTGACGCAGACAACCATATCGATATTTTCGAGTAGTGCAGAGGCTTCGCATGTCATAGTTGACAGAACAGTGGCACAATCTGACCATGAGATAAGCGCCAGAATGTGCATCTATTCAGATATTCAGATAGTGCATGACTCAGCTCTCTATTTAAGGTTGGTTCTGGGGAGGTTGAATGTTGATATCCTCATTATGATTGTTCTTCATATTCTGAGCTGGATCGGTGTTGATATACCAAAAAGAGAGCAGCGTTTACCAACTCCCCCAAATGAAGAGCAAGCTTTCGCTTACACTTCCTGTCGAATCCATGTATGTTTCCAGCGCGCGGCCCCAGTGCGACCTTCCCGCGGTGCTGCCGCCGACTGAGCCGGCATAAGACCCAGCGCGGTCACGGCCAGTGGGCGGAGTTTAGTTGGGCCCGGCGCAACGTGATTGGCCAGCGCTCCCATCCAATCCGCTGCGGTAGCGAACGAGCCTCTATCCAGGTGCAAAATCTTATTAGCATTACGACCCTATGACAAGTGCTCTAAATATTAATATTTTGTTAAGAGACCATATTGAAGAAAATTGGCGCTTGAGCTGAAATGTCTAATGTCAAATTTTCAAGCAAATTAGACAAAAACTGAAGAAATTATCGCCGAAAAACAGGGTCTCATGGGGTCTGAAATACATAGTAATCTGCACCAAATGTGACCAAATATGTACCAGATGGCCGGCTTGAAAACGGCTATTGTGACCCTCAGTGACATGACCTCTGTCATCTGTGACCCGACCTGGCATCAGTGACCCCAAATAGCAAAATCGTTAGGAGGCAGCGCCCTGGCACGGGTTAAAACTTACAAAAGTAAGTATTTTTGGCATTGATCGCACTGCAAATTACAAACATCTTTAAAACATTGCATGTCAAAAATGACTGTTCCGGATGCACGCTGACGCCACACGTTCAGGATATGGCTTGGGGCATCCTCCCGCCTGTTCGATGTGGGTCCGGTTAGCGATCTCCCGTTTGACTGCAGCTGACTCGTCTGGGTGCTCCCACTGACAGGTGACCGACTCTCCCTCCCCTCCTCTCCCTCATTCCTCCCCTCCTCTCCCTCGTACCTCCCCTCCTCATTCCGGGGTGGACCATCTGCCGTCGTCTGTCGGGGCAGACCGACAGCACTTCTCGGAACTGAACTGTCGGCTTCCCAGCACGCGCTGACGTGGCGGGAGGGGTCAGAAAGGGAACTGAAGGGAAGTGCGACTACTATGGTATTCGTGCCAAATGTTTAACGTTATTGGAGGGGTATCGACTAGCCACATCAATGCTTTGAGTTATCGTTCGACGTGTGTCTCTGTTGTCCTGACGTGTAACTGTTCTGTTGGATCTGACGTACATACAACGACTCCTGTGCTTATTTTCATACACGATTTAATTCCATCGTATGCCTTGTCAATTGTCATCCTTGTAATTGCCAAAAAGAAAATTATTTCGCTTCTTCTGTTTTCATTTCTATAATTTACATGCTTGGCATCTGGCAGGTAATAATAATGAAGGATCACTTCTCCGATTTTCTGTTTGGAGCTGTTTGAATGGGATGGTACCTAAATAAAAAAAACTTGAGCCATCCATGAAAATGACACGGGGCCGTTTCGCCCCCCCCCCCCCCTAAGATCTCGGAAAGTTACCGGCCGATTTTCAAAATTCAAAGGGCGTTCGATAGCCCCACCCGGGAACTACCTTGTGACCAAATTTCATTGACCTAGGTCAAACCGATGACGTCACAGGTCAGGTCAAAGGTCAGATTTTCACCTTTCACAGGCATTTCAAGAAATGTGTTGTGAAATCGAGTTAATTGGTAATTTATTGAAAACCATCGATGGTACATTGTTCGTCAAACACATACTTCGCTATCTGAGGTCACTGATACCAGGTCAGGTCACAGCGAGGTCAGGTCACCGGGGTCACAATATGAAAGTGTCGTGTGATACATGTTTTATGGTCCATTTTACATGACAAATGCGATTATGTGGGTTAGGCAGCCTTTGGGGCCAGCCTAGGTCACGTTTTGGTGAAGGTCAGGTCAAGGTCAGGTCAAGTAAGGTCAAATTTTAAAGTTGATATTTTTGCATAAAATGGGTATCGATTCGATGCAGCTCGTCACGGGGAGTCTAATGGTGGTCTTTGTTTTGCTCTACGAGATCTAGAACTGCCAAAAATTGAGTTTGAAAATTTGACGTCATCAATTTTGAACAGTTTTTTCGCTATAACTTGGCCAAAAAAACGAGGTATCGATCTGAAATTCGGTATGTAGATAGAAGACGGTAGGTAATATCACATATATTCCGGTTTTTTTGAAACTCAAAAAACTTTTTGGATTTTTTGGCTAATATATCATTTTTTTTATTTTTGGGGTTCAAAACTCAGAAATTTCAAAAATCCGAGATAGCAGTTTTGTAGCCCTGTCAATTCTACACCTTTTATGTCTTGATCATTTTTCTGTATCTTCAAAGCTGTAGGCCTGACAGGTCTTCTCGCGAAGGTCTTTTTTCGGTCGAAAATGACAGAACATGACGTCATTCTGACGTCATTTGTGGCCAACCTATCATAGCCTCTGGAAAATTTTTGGTCACAATGTGTAAAATTGATGCCCGGAGGGGTCCTGAAAGTTTGGTGGCGATATCTGAAGCGGTTTAGGAGATATCGACCGAAAAGGACAGGGAAGGCCGTTTCGCCCCCCCCCCCCTACGGGGCGCGGGTTAAAGTAGGTAGACATATCATTTAAGAAGTTGAAAACGTTTTTAGACTTGATCTTCTTAGGCTGTATCAAAGACCACTGCATACACTATACTACGCATAAAATTAAAAGCCTGATATATGTTCATTCATAGCTGTAAGCACAGATAACAGTAGTACTTCATTTATCTGTATTCTGTGCTGTAAGTAATGGCTATGTGACGTGTGGGCGTAATAAGTGGGATCATATTCACTGTCCCTTTCAACGTTATAAGTTTTAGTCGCTAAAAAGCAAGTCTTCACAAAAACAGCAGGGGGGGGGCGGTGTCTGCTCTCCCTGACGCCCTGAAGTAGTTGAGTTGAAGCTTCCATCCTGTTAGTGGATAACATACCTATTACATTTTATTTTTAACCGATATTATAGCACCGCATCTTTTGGACAGACGTTTCATTTATAAACCGTTCTTTCGACTGCATTGGCCGGTAGTGTACGTTTATTGATTCGCGTCACCCTGTTTTACCGTTAGTCATACCCTAAGGCTACAACTTTTTGTCAACGGTGCAGTCATTTAATTTTCCGGCGGCCTCTGAGCCTCGCCCTCCACCAGTTACGGTAGAGCAGGCTACACTGGCCGCTGATTGGCGGCGGCGGCGGCTGCCGGCCGGTAGAATGACTCAGTAGGCGGGAACCTAAAGCAGCTTTCTCCACGCTGCCGGTATCCCTGCCAGTCGCGTCCGCAGCTTTTGCAAGTGAGGTGCCCCGACTCCTGAACAAGTAAGTCCGGCTGTGCTAGCTGGTTTGTTTATAACTTCCTTCGGTCGGTCATTCTTCCTGCAATCAAGTCATTCGGTCGTTTTAGTATGAGTGCTTGTTTATCTTGCTTTAATTCAAAGCAACGATTGTTTGTCCAGAAAACGTCTCCGAGAAGAGAAAAGAACGTCTTTGGCTGACATGCAAATATGATGTCATTTTTCACATTTACATGTCCGTATGAAACGTATCTTTGTTGAGTTTCGCCCATTGGGCTAAGTTTGAGTTCCTTTCGTTTTATAACGAATTGGATCTCCGTCGGACTTAGTCATAGTATGAGTCCCTTGGGGGTGTGGCAGCAGTTGTCGGCACCGTATCAAACTTGTGCTATGTTTAAGTCAAGACACAGTTCGAAATATAGAATTGCATCATGACACGTCAGGAAATTCCATTATTGAGGAAAACTTTCCGCTTTCCTCTGTTGATACCGTCGGAAGACCTTCAACGTTCGGGACGTTTTGACGGGCAGGCGCTTATGCTGAACTTCATTGTGGAATATATATTCCTCGTCATGTTACTCTGAGTTCTGCAGCTGTAGCACATTCATTGTTTGTTGATTGAGTTTCACGGTCTTCAATTTCGCTTTAGGTAAATGTTTAGAGTGACCTCAGCCTTGATTTTCCAGTCTCATTCCTCCCAATGCGACCCGTAATGGATTGTTTTATACGGATTGGGGACGTTTTGGTGGGCGTTGTCTCGCATTACCGATTATGGTGAGCTTCTTTCTTTATGCTTGACCGAGACATCCCTTTGTTGTTTACGCATCGCGACACAAGATGGCAAGACACCCAGCGATATACAAGGGCCTCATTCCCTCACGGCCGAGCTCAGCCCCACCGTGACCCCCCCCCCCCCCCCGCCGCCACGCCCGTGACCCCGACGGCGTGCGGCCGTCTCGAGATCACGTGACCGTCGTGTCGGGATCGATGCGGTCCCGAGGGGCGCGGCCGGCCGACCGGCACCTCGTGGCCGGCTTTGGGCGCAGCCATGTTCGCCGCAGCTGCCCCGTGCAGCGCCACCGCGGCGCCACGGACACTATCGCAACAGGAAGTGCCGTGGTAGGAAGCGGCTTCAGACGCCCCCCCCCCCTCCCGCCGTCTCCGCTGCCCCCCCCCCCCCTGATTCGGACGCCTTCCGGAGAGTGGCTGGCCGTCCCATTTCAGTTATCCACATTTGCGGTCTGCTGTGCTTCATCCAGCTCTTCCAGAAGCATTCGTGATACTTTGAAGCTTATCTCTTTGTTCTTTGTATGCGGCGGATTTATTTAGCTCGCGGAGAGCGGATCTTCTCGGCTCTTTGTACCGCAGACCGTTCCTTTATCTGTGCCGGGTCTGGTTTGGGTCAGAAACGAGATGTAAATGCTCCCGACGACTGCCGAGAGAGTGCATTGCAACCACGAGTTGAGCCGGTGGAGGTCACATTGAACGGCTGGACGATCAATTATCTTTGGATGGCAAAGGAAGGAGCCGACCAGTTTCGCCTCCAGTCTTAGCACTGGTCTATCTGTGGGTTTCTGGTCCCGACACGCTGAGAGGCACAGAGAAAAGTAAGAGGAAGGCAAAGGGTAGCACAGGGGTCGTGGTACTGGAAGTGACCCCGACCTATACTTCGCTCATCCTCCCAGGCCAGGGAAACGAACTGATTATGGTCCCAGGCTTGTCCTTGGCAAAGGGAGATGTGCAGTCTAACGACAGAGTTAACTCTGTGTTCGGCATTGGGCAGTAAACAATATGTTTAGTCCGAGTTGTGTAAAAGATAATGTCCAGGCTAAGGCTTATGACTGGCTGGTTGTCTCCTTTGTTGCATTGCATTCTCCTTTGAACACCATGTGTTCGTCAGATTCTCCGAATGTGACCTTTCCTTTCCACCCACGTAGTTTAGATATGCCGTCTATTCATTTTTATGTAGTCCGCTTGTATCGCTAATTCCTGGTCTCGTCACCATCTGGACCAAACGACGGTCCGGTCCGGTCCGGTCCGGGTGGCGAGCCCCGCCGCGCTGGTCCGGACCAGGACCAGCTCACCGCCGCGTGCCTGAGCCCGTCCGGGCGGCCGTCAGCTGGCGAGCGGCGCGTCAGCTTGTCAACGGTCAGCAAACGGACATGTTCAGCCGCCGTCCGGCCGTGACAACCGGACCGTGACGGACGGACCGTGACGCCGTGACGTAGCCGTGACGCTGACCGCTTCCGGGCGTCACTCGGCGCGGCGGCGCCCGGGCGTCCAGCCGGCGCGGCGCCCCGGGCTCCAATGTCGAGCCGCGTGCCTGAGGCTGCTCGACCCCGATATCCACCGCCGCCGCTGCCGCCCGTTCCTCGTTGAATCACCATACAGTTGACTCATAACGTGAACCGCTGACGACGCGGCTCTATGTATCAGCGCCGACTGCTGCGCTGGCCGCACGGTCACGGGGCACAGTGGCGACCAGTCCGTAGCCGCAGACATCAACTTGTGGCCTCCGGGCCGCAGTTGGTGGGGGCTCGAACGGAAACGGGGAGACCACAGCTGATACCGAGCCCGGCGGCCATGGTGGGTTCACGGTTTTCCACCAGTATCGCATGTGGCAAACGCTCAGCTCTGGCGTCCACGGCAAGGCTTTGGTACTTACAGACGGCATCCGAACATTTCATAACATAGACACCGGTCCATAGACTTTCCATAGTCTTTTACCTGTGGCTGTGGCTTCTGCGTTGTTCGCAGTCCTCCCATTATCTCTCCACTGCACGCCGCTCTTCCTCCATTGTTTTCTTTTGCCCTTTGTCTCTGAGGTTTCGCTTTGTTTATTGTTAACCGCCGTAAGATCTACGCATTTTAACGCTAAACGCTCCCTTCCACCCATTCCTTGCGCTAAAATAAATTTTATGCATGCATATTCCTTCTATCTTTGCAACTTCTCTTTGTATCCATCCCTCGCTCTCTGTCCACTTCATTCGCCCCGTTCTTGTCAGCCCTTCAGCACCCTTCCTCTGCTCCTGCAGTAGCCCCTCCCCTCTCCCCAACTCTCCCCACTACCCCAGCGGGCCGTGTCAGTGTTGGAATGCAGTGAGCTGCCGGCCCGGCCTTCCCAGCCTGGCCGGCCCGGTCTGGCTGGCTGACCGACCCGTCGACGCCGAGCTGTACGAGTATCTGTATGTAAGTACCAGCGTGTAGGCTCCGGCTCCCAGGCAGCGACACCTCGCTGGTAGTAATGTGAGTCGCTGACTGTCCCACGTATACAAACGCAGCGTCAACTACCTGGGCGGCCACGGGGGACGGCTGGACCTCGGTTGGACCTCGTTTGGACCTCAGCTGGATCTGGCTTGGATGGGTCGTTGGGCACATGAGTTGGGCAGCTTGGAACATTTCTTTGTTTTATTTAGCTTGCTTCGATTTGTTTTCGCCAATGGTAACTTGAGGCTTGTCTCACAGAATACCCGTGCCTTCTCTTTATAGCTTCTAATCCTTTCTGAAGCCACACATTGGCGGCTCTGAAAGTCACAACGTTGTGACATGTAACTTGTAAGGCATCGCTGCTCCCATCACTGTATATTCATACACTGTCAACGGTGAGCGATTGGCTTTGCACGGAACACGATCGTCCTGTCTCTGTCCCCTACCCCACCGGACTCTCAGTTACCAGTGCACCATCCCACGCTTTGTAACGCTGCAGACTGGGGCAGCCCCACCGGCTGTCTCTCCTCTCCTCTCCTCCCCTCTCCTTTCCTCTCATCTGCTCCCCCGGTGTGATGATGGCTAGTCCCCAGCCACTGGCGAAAGACGCGCCGGAACCGGACACTTCAAAGTCACCCTGGGTGGCCGTCGGCTACGTCTAATACATCTCTCTCATCTCGAGCAATCGCAACGGTCACGGTACCGCCATGCTGCAGTCAGATGACGTTTTTCTCGTCTAGACTCCGATCCCTGTGCGACGTGGCATTAGCGTCGACTGTGGTAAACGTGGCTGACAGCAACACGTGACAAAAACTGCCCAAACGCCAGGCGTGTGCGACGCGACGTGGCAGCGCGGGCGCTCTGGCTTTGTCAGGAGCGTGGAGCGACGCAGATGTGGCGTTAGGTGTGTCAAGGGAGTCATAAACCAAGCCAGCAACTCTTATCTTCCCCAAACACCGTCTCGGCTTGTGGTAGGCCGTTTGTATACATGACCGTAGCTCCTCCAACTCCGCCGGCGCCGGCGCTGTCTGCTGACCGCACAAGGCCGGAGGCGTCCGGATGCTCGTCTGGCGCACTATGATGGCTGCGGGCCGCGGCGACGCGCCAGCCAGTGTGCGTTGCATCAGGGCTGTTTTGAAACGGCCAGTCAGCTTGATGGGGTTACGCAACGCCAGCCTTTCGGGCGGCAGTTGTCCAAACAGATGTGAGCACGCGCCGTTCGGCCGCATCCGTCGAAAACAGCGCCGATGAAATCAGCTCGGACTGCCCGACTGGAGCTGTATATCCGGATAGCACGAGTACGACATCCCCCAATCCGCGGGGGAGTGCAGGATCAAAGGATCCCCGGCAACGGCTATTCATAGCCGTTCGCGTGCACCTTGGTCACAGGTGTGCACTCCGCCACGCCGCGCTGCAGCTTGCATTTATTCGCTGCAATGTGCGATCGGACGATGCAGCCGGCGGTGCGAATTGCAATTAGGATGGTGTTTCCGGTGTAACCACGCGCGCAGCGACCGGCTCCACGCCCGGGCGAGGCTCGATTTCGGCCGATGACGTGGCACCAACACAAAGCACGGCACGGCATACCTGCGAACAGCGGCAGGGCGTACCACTGAAAACAACAACAGCACGTGGCACGTGCCGACCGACCTCGCCACTGATCCGGTCTCGCCCAGCTCTGTATCGCCCTGTATCGCGATGGGAGTCCGGTAACAGCGAGCCACCCGACCCAACGGCTGCCGTCAGCACCCGTCAGACAGCATTGTATGCCGGCTCGGCCGAGCCGCCGACCGGGTGCTTTCATACTGAGGTCCCGCG